ACAGACAGGAACTGGAAACACAGGGAATCCAGGACAGATGAACCCCTCAGAACCAGTGGTAGGAGTGGCAATACTGTGAAGGTAGAAGGAAGGTGGGGTAGAAAGGGGAACCGATTACAAAGATCTACATATAATCCTCTCCTTGGGGGATGGACAACAAAAAAGTCGGTAAAGGGAGATGTCGGACAATGTGAGACATGACAAAATAATAATAATTTATAAATTATTAAGGGTTCATGAGGGAGGGGGTAGGGAGGGAGGGGAATAAATGAGGAGCTGATACCAAGGACTCAAGTAGAAAGCCAATATTTTGAGAATGATGATGGCAACAAAGGTACAAATGTGCTTGACACAATGGATGGATGGATGGACTGTGATAAGAGTTGTACGAGGCCTCAATAAAATGATTAAAAAAGAAAAAAAATTAACAAAACCCATTTTATTTTTTAACAAAAATCTCTCTGAAATATACAATTCTTCATTTCATAGGAGAAAGGGATTTATCTCAAGATGTAAATGAAACCCATAGCAATGGATCATCACTTGAGCTACTGTCTTTCAGTGTGCTTTTGAAATATCGGGGCAAAGGAAGTACAAAGCCTCTCCTCCACATGAGATGTCTGCACAACACTTCACACGGTGTGAGGGCAACAATCATCCCTACTTCATCACCGGGGAGGGAGACTAGCAAAGCCCAATGCCCTCAGAGCTCCTTGAAGAACCAGAAAAAATGTTCTTTATATAAAATAAACTACATTTTTTCCCCATAAGGGAGAAAGCTATTCTTTTTTTTTTTTTGGCACATAAAAAAAATCTACTCTGTTTATTTCCTGGATCAGGTAGTGGTTGTGCTTTTCAAAATTTGTGAGAAAGCTATTCTCCACATGGATGGGCTCTGTGCAATAAAGAGAGGGCTTCCTACTCCCATAAAGAGTTAGTCTCAGAAAACTTAGAGGGGCAGTTCTACCCTGTCCTACAGTGTCACTATGAGTCCACATCGACTCGATGGCAGGGAGTTTGGTCCAACAGAACTTCCTGCTCTGATGGTAATGTTCTAAATCTGAGCTAATCCAATAGCCACTAGTGACTGAACACTTAAAATGTGGCTTATGCAAATAAGAAATTGAATTTCTATTTTTATTTAATCTTAATCGATTGAAATTGAAACAGACATATTTAGCGAGGGGCTACTATATGAGGCAGTGTAGGTTAGTCCTCAGCAAAGCTGAGTAGCTAACTAATCTTAGACTCAAAGTCACAATTTAAAAAAACTGACATTCTACATAATATTTCATATGCTATTGACTACTTAAATCTAAGGCTAACAAGAGTTGGTCAGAAGTGAGCTTTCAACAAAAGTTTTGGCAATTCCAACTTTAAAACATAAACATGCCACGTCCACTGAGCAGAATTCCTTTGGCAACGTTCACATTTCCACCTGTGAAACTTAGGCCCAGAGAAGAATGGGAAGAACCCACACAGAACTGGCCCATCCTCCTCTTGACACAAAGGGAAGAGATAAGACATGACATCAGTAAGAGGCTAATATAACCTTGGATTCTTTTTGGGTACTTCTATTCACTAACCGGCTTCTTTCAAAACAGCTTGGCTTCTAATAAAGTGCATTCCAGTATTTGTCTGATCTCTTAGACTGTGTTCGAGGATGCCCAGACCATGCCCAGACACACTAGAATTAAGCATCTCTCCAGGACAGCGGTTTTCAACCTGTGGGTTGTGATCCCTTTGGGGGCCGAACGACCCTTTCACAGGGGTCACCCGATTCCTAACAGTAGAAAAATTACAATGATGAAGTAACAACGAAAATAATTTTATGGTTGGGGTGGGGGGTCACCAACCACAACATGAGGAACTATATTAAAGAGTCGCGGCATTAGGAAAGTTGAGAACACTTCTCTAGGAGAAGATCATTTAAAGCATATACACTAAAATTCTACATCCACTCCTCACTTATCATGGTTAGATTCCAAAGACAAGGTCGCTATGTGAAAACTGACCTTATGTGAAATGGATGATAACCACATCCCTTCAACCCACCTCCACTTGCTACACTGCCTTCCCTTCAGGACAGCCGGGTTCTCACCACTGTCAGCAGGCTTACCCAGTCTTCCGAGGTAGGGTGGCCCAAGTGCTACCCTGCCCCTTTTCCCAGATCCCAACCCTCTCTTGCCCTCCCTTCAATTTTCCCAAAGGATGGTTCCAGCTAATCCCCTCAATGACCCCAAAATGCCCTTGGTGGCTTTTTCTGGGGTGAGGGCTCCCTGTCCGTAGTCAGGAGAGCCTGGGTTCTGTGGGGCAGAGGGTGAACTCTGCCTGCTGGGTCCAGGCCACCACCACCACAAGAATTCCCCAGCTCTTTATAGGCAGCCTGTCCCCTTTATTCAGTCCCTATGTCCCCATGAGAAACGATAATCAAGGGTTTCTTCTGAGGACATGATCTGGCCTGATCTCTGCCCTTGACCTTAAACTGCAGCTTCCACTGGTCACTCACCCACTGACCCCACTCCCACCCATACCTGTGCCTGCCCAGGAGGGGGCATCAAGGAAGCATTAGGGGCTGCCACAGTTAACAGTCAGCTGAGTACCCCACCTCAGAGCTAACAACCCTGACACCCTTCAGGATTAGGAGCTGGGGCCATATCCTGAGGTCTCACTTCCTCCTTGGCCAGGGCAAGACAGTGGCTGCTGCTGCCTCAGCCCCCTAGAACCAGCCAGTACCTACTAGGTGACATCCTATCTCTAGAGACCCCTTTCCTTTTTCCCAGCTTGCTCTGCCAAACAAGCCCGTACCCACCCCAGCATCAAAATCCTATGCAACATAATCTTTCTGCACGTACACAGAGTCTGCTGGTGACAGACCTCATCAGGGATTGTGATATTTGCTCCTGCCAGATATGTGTCATTAATGGGTGAAACAGCTGGAAAGTACGTTTTTTTTAATACTGTCATGAATGCAAAATGTTAAGATAGTTAGGTATTCAATAAGTGAGGATTCAGCGATATTTAAACGAGACAAGCAGATCCAACTGTCAAAATGCAGTAGCCTGAAGAAGAGCAGATGCTTCAGAAAGACTCAGATATGCAGACCATGCCAAGCACACTTTCAAGAAGGTGGCAGAAGAAACTGCACAATCCTGTAGTCAAGAAGGAAGAGACATCCCAAAAACAAATATACTGTAACCACTTGAGCCTCAAGGCGCACCAACCGCTGAATTCCTTAGGATGTCAATCAAGGTCAATGCCAAATTCCTATTCTTCACCTTCCCCTCATTGCTAACACTTAGAGAAGGCTGCACCACACACATCCGCAGAAACATTCTGGTAATTTAATTGCGTTAAAGTAGCATGAATTTCTAGAGCTATCCATATAAAGTCAATGAGTTGGTTTAAAACAAGCCAACTTAAATACGTATACTGTACAAAACCGATAGCCACTAGGGCTACAGGGTACATTCAGAGAACCTGAAGAAATATACGTATTTTTAAAAAGGCAATTACCAAGCAGAACAATTCTAAGACAGCTGTGCGGCTCAGGTAAGAATTCAGCCCAAGAGCCGCACTTCATCTTTTCCTCCACCGCTATCACTACCACTGCAGCCTGAAAAAAGGACGAGACGCTCACCTAATGCATCCAACCAGCACTGGGATTTTGACAAGACACACGACAAGGAAGAAATGCATGTAGTATCTCAAAGGCTTCAGCTCTAGTAGAATGATGAAAGGCAGGTGTCTGGGGAAGGTGAAAAGGCTTCCTCTGGAGCAACCAAGAGCACAGACATCATAGCAGGAGTCTGTCAGCCTCCATGGAAGCTGTGTGTTACCAGGCGTGTGTGTGTGTGTGTGTGTGTGTGTGTGTGTGTGTGTGTGTGTGTGTGTGTGTGTGTGTGTGTGTGTGTGTGTGTGTGTGTGTAAAATGTGCAGATACTGGCCTGGTGTGTGTGTGTGTGTAAAATGTGCAGATACTGGCCTGGGTAGGGAGTAAAGGAGAATTCTGAATGGGGCGCTGCCCTGCTATTCAATTCAGAGAGTGAATGCCCGCCTCCTCTTCCAGGCCATGAACTTCACCGGTCCTGCTAACCGCAGTATCTGCAGCATGCTCCCTGAAGAGCCCACCAGTTAGACAATTATGTGACAAAATTTCACCATATTGAAGTGATAAGTAATAGAAACCTCAAATTTTCCCCCATTATTCTAATTATCAGTGGCCCAAGGGAGGAAGTCAAGTAAATCTAATGCAAAATATAGAGTTTTCACAGCAAAGGTACAAGTTCTTGAAGCACATATAATGTTTAAAAGACCGAAAATAAACACTTCTCCCTAACTTCTACTATTACTCTTGTTTACCAAAAGCCAACTTAAAGAGCAGACATACACTTCTTAAGTGCCCCCCAAAGATATGAGTCTAAAACTGATACTTAGTTTTTATATTTCATATCCTAAGACAGATTGAAAATAAAATTTCAGCGAAGAAACCAACGTAACAGAAAAGGCCATTCTGGGGTTTGATGTATAGTGTCAATGTCACACCACAGCAGATTAAGTGAAGACGCCTATGAAAAGATCTTAGCCCAACTACAGCTCAGGATTTTTTTTCAGTTTCTAATATTTATAGGTTATACATATTCCTCTTCGTTTTTCTAAGTCCTCAAGTTCTAGGTATTTAATTCCAGTTTCTCTAGGTGTGCCTTTGCAGGACAGTTTCAATGAACAAATGTCAATCACGTTCAAAACACATTATTAATGGACTTGACTAAGATATTCACGAATTCCACTCGGAACCTATCATGCCTCCTAATAAAGGGGGATTGGGGTGCATAACTCAGTCGAATCGTTTCCTGTTCTTTTTCTCTTTTGTTTTCCAATAACAAAAGCATCGTGCTTCTGCAATCCAAGGTGCAAATATATGTAATCATGGCTCCTGACTTTAGCATAACATTGTACATTTTGACACACGCATCAAACAGAAGTGCTCCGATGCTTACCTGTATAGCCTGCATACCATCCCCAAGAAGCCACGATTCCTATGAGCCATTTATACATGATTCCTTCAATATACCAGAACAGCTTACTGTCCAGCACGCGAAGAGGCTGAAGTATAATCACATAGAAGACGTAGGATGGAAGAGCAAACACGTTGTTGGCGACCATAAAGGCAAATCTCATCAACGCTTTCACCAGAATCCAGCCCAACCACGGAGCGTCTTCCAAAGTCACAGCCATGCTCACACTGAAGTCCGTCTGGTCCTTCTGGGGTGAAAGGGACATTCATTGACAATGGAAAGCAGACTCACCCCATATTAGTAGCGCCCCCCACCCTGTCCCCGGGCACAGAAATAAAAGAAAAACGAGGTGTAGTGCCTCGGTGATCTCGCAGGGAAAGTCCCAAAGGGGGACAGAGAGCCAGAGAGGAGGAGCCGCACAAGGTCAAGGGAGCTAGCTGTGCACCGAGGCACCGGTATGTCATAACATATTTAGCAAATGATAATACAATTCCCACCGACTCATCGGTGCCCGGCCCCGCACCGCGCCTCACTGCCGTCTTCGGGGTGGGCTTGGGGGAAGCGAACAGACCCACCGGCTTCAGGCACCCTCGGGAGCGTCACCCCAGGGCCCGGGGAGCCAGGGCTGGAGCGGGACCGCGGCCGGCTTTGGCGGGCTCCTACGCGCCTGCACGCGGGTTCGTTCCTTCCCACGGGCCGAGGGCTGCGAGCCGAGCGCAACGGCTCGTTGGCGGCCAGGGGGGTTTTGTCTTCCTTTCGCAGGACGGGGAGAGGGGCCTACCCGCGAGAGACTGAAAGTGAGCGGGGAAGGGGAAGGCAGCGAGGGGAAAAAGAGGAAGGGCGGCGCAGGGGGAGGGGAGCGGAGCGCCGGCCCGGGGGCGAAGGGAAGGGCCGGG